CTTCTCTTCCCTAGACCGGCCAAACCCAAATCCTTCCAATGTTCTTCGTAGGTTTTAGTATTCTTTAGACCTTTAATCATCCCTCTCTTTTTTTTTTTTTGCTCTTTTCTAGACTTTCGACGTTCCTGTTTTGCATTCTGGTGGGCGGGAGCAGGAAGGGGGTTTCCCCAGGCCTAGCCGGGCCTTCCCCTTCCTCAATCCCCCTCCCCTTTTTTTGCTAGAGAGGAAAGTTGCTCTATTTTTACTTTTGGACTCCAACTCCCAGAATCCCCCATTCCCCCAACTCCATAGAGCGGAGAGACTGCAGAGGAAGGGATGACAAGAGAGGAAGCAGGTATCAACTTGAAAGTCCAGTGAAGCCGGCTGAGGAATTCTGGGAGTTGAAGTCCACAAGCCTCAAATCAGGGGTCCCCAACCTTGGCCCCTTTAAGACGGGTGGGACTTCGACTCCCAGAATCCCCCCATTCAGCCATTCCCTCCTCCTCCCTAGAGTGGAGCGATGGCAGAGGAAGGGAGAGCAAGAGAGGAAGCCCATAGAGTTGAAGTCTCGGGGAATTCTGGGAGTTGGAGTCCTCCAGGCTTAAAGGGGGCGAGTTTGGAGACCCCATGCTCTAGCAGCTCACAGGCTTCCCGGCCCCGTTTGTGGGGCGGGCGAAACGAATCGAGCCAGGGGGGGGGGGGGGGGGGGGAACGGCCGGGGGGGGGTTCTTCCTCCTCTTCGCGGTAGGGCTCCGAGGCGACTGGGGGGGGGTGGGTGCCCTCGGCCTCTTCCAGCATAGTGGAGCTGACGATGGAGACGGACGTGACCCGGCCGTAGAGATCCAGCACCACGAAGACGTTCTGGACGTGGGAGAGGAACCAACCGTCAGGAAGACTCGCCGGTGGGGGGGGGGAAGGGGAGGGGTCGCTTGGCACACTTCCTCTCGTAACCCCATCCTTTCTCTTCCTCCTTTCCCTTCTTTCCTTCCTCTCATCCTTCCTTTCTTCCTCCCTCCCTCTCATCCTTTCTCTTCCTCCTTTCCCTTCCTTCCTTCCTTCCTTCCTCCCTCTCATCCTCTCTTCCTCCTTTCCCTTCCTTCCTTTCTTCCTCCTTCTCATCCTTTCTCTTCCTCCTTTCCCTTCCTTCCTTCCTTTCTTCCTCCTCCTCCTCCTTTCTTTTCTTCCTTTCCCTTCCTTCCTTTCTTCCTCCTCCTCATCCTTTCTCTTCCTCCTTTCCCTTCCTTCCTTCCTTCCTTCCTTCCTTCCTTCCTTCCTTCCTTCCTTCCTCTCATCCTTTCCCTTCCTCCTTTCCTTCCCTTCCTTCTTTCTTCTCCCTCCCTTTACCTATTTTCTGGACATGGAAAAGAACAAAACCAACCAGGAAGGCCTTTCATGATGGAATTGCTTTACGTTTTGTTTAAACTCTTGTAACCATCATGTAGCTACCCACCTCCCTCCCTCCCTTCCTTCCTTCTTTCTTCTCTTTGCCGTCGCCTTGCCTATTTTCCTTCTTTCCTTCCTTTCATCTATTCCCTCCCTCCCTCCCTCTTTTCCTTCTTCTCATCCCCATACCCGTCCTTGCCTATTTTCCTTCCTTCTTCCCTCCCTATTTCCTTCCTTCCCTCCCTTCTTCCTCCCTCCTTCCCATCCTTCCTTCCTTCCTGTCCTTTCTCCTCCTTTCTCTTCCATTTCCTGTCTTCTCCTTCTCTCATTCTTTCCTCCCTCCCTCCCTCCCTCCAATCAGGGGTCCCCAGCAGTCCCAACCTGGTCTGGGGCCATCCGATGAATGCCAGCTGGTCTGTGTGGGAGGTGAAGGTAACTGCCCCCCTCCCACGGGGCCTTCTCCGCCAATGGCATGGGATGCCCCCCGTTTTACAGCCCCTCACCCCCAGACCCCTCACCGGGCCCAGAGAGCAAGGCCAGCCTGGGGCCTTCTTACCTTGGCGACACCAGTGGCGGCCGCCCCCATGTCCTCCCCGTCGATCAGCACGTGCATGGTGTCGTCAGTGCAACGCTTCACCCCCACACGGCTGCCCACCTGGAGGACAAATCACAGGCAGGCCCCTTGACTTACAACCACTCATTTAGCGACTGTTCAAAGTTACGACGTCACTGAGAAAAAATGACTTTTTCAACACTGATATGACTACTGCGGCATCGCCATGGGTCACCATCCAAGGGTGGGATTCAAATTTCCTAACAACCGGTTATTGGAGCGGGGCCTAATTTGTGGGAGTGGCTTGGTGGTCACGCGTCTGGCTGGGCGTGGCTTGTATGTAAATATTGTACATATTTATGTACAGATTGAATTTTTAATTTTAAAAAAAGAGCAACTTTTACCCAAAATCAGGCAAAGCAGGCAGGCAGATTGAGTTGCTCACAGAATCACAGATTCATTCAGAGATCTATCTTTCTGCCGTCTGCTGCCTGAGTCTATCACATAAAATTTGCTTGCAATCAAACTCATATTTGCTAGCAAGTAAACTCACAAAATTAACTCACAAAACATCATGTATATAAATATATATATATATGTATGTATATGTATGTGTGTGCGTGTGTATATATATATATATATATGTAGATCTTTGGTTGTTCGGGTTTTCTCCCGCGTAAGATTCGAAGTATCTAGGCAACGTTTCGATGAAGTCTCATTCATCATCTTCAGGCTTCTGTCTCCAGCTCTGTGCTTCTCAGAGTAATGGAGATTGCAGCTGCTTCCTCCTTTTAACTGCCAGTGGGGGTGGAACTTGATTGGGTGGGGGCTTGGCTGTGTTCTGATTGGGTGGGGGGGTGTTCTCATTGGGTGGGGGGGTGTTCTCACCTTCATAATCTGGCCACACGGGAAAGAAAAACTGAACAACTTCCTCACATACCTCAACAGTCTACACCCCAAAATACAATTCACCATGGAAACAGAAGCCAACAATCAACTTCCCTTCCTGGATGTCTTGGTATACAAAAGATCCGATGGCTCCCTAGGACACACCATCTACCAGAAGAAAACACATACTAACCGCTATCTACATGCACTCTCACACCACCACCCAGCACAGATCAATTCCGTAGCCAAGACACTCATCTCCAGAACAAAATGCTTAGCCGATGAACAACACCAAAAAACCGAACTACACACTCTCACCAACGTACTTACAGCCAATGGATTCCAAAGAAAGAAGATTACCCACCTAATCCAAAAAGAAGCCCCTACCAAAATCCAAGACAGAGAACAAGAAAACGGAAAAGCCCTCCTCCCATATATAAAAGGCACTACAGACAAAATTAGCAAGATCCTCCAAAAACACAACATCAAAACAGCATTCTGCACAAACAAAAAAATATCCACCATCCTAAGAAACCCCAAAGACAAAATCGAATTAGAAAACCAAGGAGTATACGAAATCCCCTGCACTGCCTGCCCTAACACATACATTGGACAAACTAACAGAAGAATAAGTGCACGCATTGAAGAACATAAGAACTCAATCAAAAAAA